TGTTTAAGGGATATCAGTGGAATTTAATGGCGCAAATCTTTTAAAATATTTATAATACTAAAGTTTTATGAGAGTTAACTTGATTATTGATTTGAATAGTTGCGATAAATTGTTTATTAAATAATTATTTGATTAAATTTTTATTTATGAATATAAATTAATTAATTAAACTTTTATTTGGAAATTTTTTTAGAGCGAATAGCGAAATGTTCATAAATTTTGATAGCATTTATCAATGCTGATTTTAATTTTCAGCTCTTTTTCACTTTCATTTTGCATTGGGAACATCAGAATGTCTAGATATCGTTGTATAAATACACAATCGACTTCTAACGTTAAGTATTTGTAGTTAGGGTTATAACATCTTCTTTCTAAAGTGAGATGCGAAGGTTTATCTTTGTTAATTTCCGAGGATTTACATGGGGCGGAATAATAGATAAACTGGAAGATCATATCTTGAAGGCTCAGTTTCGATTGTTTTAAGTCTGATTCTATTGCTTGAAGGATGGCCTTTTATATGCAAATTAGATTGTTGACTGAGGGGAGGAAATTAACTTTATTGCACATATTCACTATTACTTGCGTTTAATTCGGAATTTTCCAAGACAAATCTACCAATTTAATTTATTCAAATTTATTGATTATATGGGATGCAGTAGAAACCAAGCAAATTGTTTTTAGTGAGTTTTTTTTTTAAATTTTAAATCAAAATATCTCAATAACTATTAAACTAAACTTGATAAATTTTTTTTTTATTTTAATTCTATAAATAGAATTAAAATAAAAAAGTTTTTATCAAGTTTGGTTTGATAGTTGTTAAGATATTTTATTTTAAAGTTTTGAAAAAATCTACTTAAAAACAATTTGCTTGGTTTCTACTGGCACCACATATGTTGATTATATTTATAGTGCACAAATTCATTATATTTGTGTCTATACATGGCAATTCCAGTTAAAGTATCTTTACGAACCGTCTCAATAAATGAAACAACTATAAATATAGATTTTTTTTTTTCTTTTTACTGCCTGGAATTTTATTATTTTTTATTACAATTGTCATTATTATATATACATATATTAATTATTAAGCAGTTAAATAGATAGTGTTAAATATTAATATTATTGGATTGAAGTTGAGATTGAAAATTCAGAGTTCTCAAATTATTGGGAAATTATTATAATCGTGAACAAAATTCTACCTTACTTTTTCGTGTTGTAAGCACGAATTTTTTTTATTATATTTTTTCTCACACACATATTTCATTATAGAACAGGATTTTGGCATAACAAATATTTGCTTGGATAATATAATCACGCTTTTGTCATCATTATTTATGGCAACGTTAAATAACGTTAAAAATTCTCATGCCGTGGAATTAAAGAAGACTTGACACATTAACTTTATTCTTAGTTACTGTATCACATTATTTTTTTCAAAGTTTTTTCAACATTTTTAAATAGTGCAATTATTATTTTAGTGCGTGGAAAACCTGGGTTAGCACCGTAAAAATTGTTGATCGGCATTTTGATAATTTGATTAGACGTTAAACATCTTATTTATTGGATGCGACCTTACTCGTGATCCGCCACATTTCCTTTTTGATTAAAACGGAAAGGATTTTCG